ATATATATATACTATAACTAATTTTTAATCAAAATATTAAGAAAATATTTTCATTAATTAAAATTTTTAATGATTAAAAATTAGAAGCAATGAAACAAACCAAGATTGCATTTGCTTCTTTGGCGAGTTTAAGCATGGCCAGGTTTTGGTCGGTTATGAAGTAGTCGTTTTCCAATAATTCCACGCCCTGTAAAAAACAAATGGTTCAGAATTAGGAGGTGCAATTTAAAAAAGAGAGTGCAGTTAACCGAAAATAATATGGCTGCTAAATTAAAATTTGATTGATAAATATTTAAAAAATATTATTAAAATCAGAAAGTTATGATTGATTATTTTATCATATATTCTACTGAGTTTAAAAATTTAATAATTTTAAGGCTTAATTTGACCAAATTTTGATTATATTTTAAACCTATTTTTTTATAGTTTAAAGCTCTATCTACCTCATAATCATTTTTCAAAGGATTAATAAATAAATAAATAAATAATAAAAATGAAAACGTATCTAATCTTAGATTCCAAGCACATGAGATTTCCGCATGACATTTTTGTTTGTTTGTGCTTATTATATTCGTGTGATCTTCATGTCCTGTCATCCTCATGTGAATGAACTGAAAAAAGCTCATTGCTCACAAACAACTCATGTTCAACTCATTAAGTAGCCCGTATTCTACTTGTTGCTCAAGTAAACGAGCCGAAGACGAACAATTTTTTTTAAGCTCGAATTAAAAATAAGCCGAACACAAATAGTCTTAGTTCGCACACCTTCAACTAGTTTTGGCTTGAAAAAAATATATATATATATATTATTTATAAAATAATATATTATATATATTTATATCTATATTTAAATCATAATTATTTGAACTGTGGTTATATATTCTCTTTTGTATAGATTTGGACAATTTTCGAATCCAACAAATTAAATCTATTTTTTTTCCAAATAATTTTAAGAATTCAATTTCGAGCTGAACGCAACCAAAATGTTACGAGTCGAACATGAGCTAAGCTTGAGCTCGCTGAAACTCGACCACTTTGCCGCCCTACACCCGAATACATCTATCTATATAAAGATCATTCAAACTTGATATTTTTTCCTCTGACTAAAATCTAAAAATTTCGTGAGATTCAGTTTCATTTGCTATTTTTCATTACAAAATTCATTATTCCTCTCAATTCATAATTTTAAATCTAAAATTAAATTTTTTTAAGGAAATATATATCCAAATATTCTAAATCAAAACACATGCAATAAAACAACACTTAATATTCCCGACTTTCCCATAAAATTTAAGATAAATATCTATTTACGATTTATATTATATTTACATAATAAAAAAATGATTTTTTTTCCAATTAACCGAATTTGGAATTTTATAGATCGGCTTTTAACAAAACCATCATCCACCGTCCATTTCGCCAACCCATCATCAAATCAACGGTCGAAAACAAAAGAAAAAAAAAATTCATTCCCTTACCTGTTCGACGGCGAACTCCTCGGCGCCTTGAAAGGCCAGGTAAGAGTGCGGTGAGAAGTCCATAACCCGGCGAGCGAGCGTAATGGGATTTTTAACGGTCGTGATTCCCGACACGGCCCCGCATCGTCGATCACGACCGTCCATTATACTCGCCTCCATTTCCACCGTCCCTCGGGCAGTCAGGGCCGACCCGCGGCCCGAATTGAAGAACGGGTCCGTCTCCAATTCCCTCACCACCATTTCAACCACGTCGACGGCCGCTGCTCCGGCGCTCAGCGCCGCAGCGCCTATCTCAAGGCACCGAGCCAAAATACGCTTCGCCGCCGCCTGACGTTCCTCCGGCAATCTCGGGTCGACGCCGGCGCCGCCGTGTACCAC